AGATTTTCCTTTCTAGTTTGGATTCTAGTAAGAATACCACTTAGGATTTTTACGCAGAGAATCTCAAGGCAAAATTTTACAAGTTGTGTTACATCTTCATAAACTGCATATAATTAGAATATGCACAGTATGTTTATCTTGGTGGATATAAATATCATATGTCCATATCATGGAATCATTAAGGTTGGAAAAGACCTACAAGATCATCAAGTCCAACTATCAACCCAACACCCCCACGCCTACTAAACCATGTCCCAAAGTGCCACACCTACAGGTTTTTTGAACACCTCCAGGGATGGTGACTCCACCACCTCTCTGGGCAGCCCGTTCCAATGCGTGACCACTCTTTCAGCGAAAAAATTTCCTAATACCCAATTCAAACCTCCCCTGACGCAACTTGAGGCCATTTCCTCTTGTCCTATTGCTTGTTACTTGGGAGCAGAGACCGACACCCCCCTGTATCCCCCCTCCTTTCAGGCAGTTTTAGGGAGCAGTAACGTCTCCTCTCAGCCTCCTCTTCTCCAGGCTGAACAATCCCAGTTTCCTCAGCCACTCCTCATCAGCCTTGTGCTCCAGACCCCTCACCAGCTTCATTGCCCTTCTCTGGACACACTCCAGATCTTCAGTGTCCTTCATATAGCGAGGTGCCCAAAACTGAACCCAGCATTCGAGGGGCAGCCTCACCAGTGCCCAGCAAAGGGGCACAATCACTGCCCTGGTCCTGCTGGCCACACCATTCCTGATACAAGCCAGGATGCTGTTGGCCACCTTGGACACCTGGGCACACTGCTGGCTCATATCCAGCCGGCTGTCGACCAACGGCCCAGATTCTTTTCTGCCAGGGAGCTTTCCAGCCACTCTTCCCCAAACCTGTAGCGTTGCATGGGATTGTTGTGACCCAAGTGCAGGACCTGGCACTTGGCCTTGTTAAACCTCATACAGTTGGCCTCAGCCCATTGATCCAGCCTATCCAGAGACCTCCTACCCTCGAGCAGATTGACATTCCTGCCCAATTTGGTGTCACCTGCAAACTTACTGAGGGTGCACTCAATCCCCTCATCCAGATCACTGATAAAAGATATTAAACACAACTGGCCCCAGAACTGAGCTCTGGGGGACAACGCCTGTGACCGGCCCCCAATTGGACGTAACTCGGTTCACCACAACTCTCTGGGCTCGGCCATCTAGCCAGTTTTTTACCCAGAGAAGATTACACCTGTCTAAGCCATGAGCCACCAGCTTCTCTAGGAGAATGCTGTGGGAGACAGTGTCAAAGGCTTTAGTAAAGTCTGGGTAGACAACATCCACAGCCTCTCCCTCATCTACTAGGCGGGTCACCTACATGATATAATATAGATTACAAAGTACAAGTTTGGAAATGTTCTTCTAAATTACCTCTTCTACCCACTTATGCATAATATATTAACTCCTTATCACTAGCTATTCTGCCACCTTAGGCTATTAATGTAATACAAGGACCACCTGAATAACGTGAATAATAGAAAAATATATGGAACTGATCACTGAAGGCATAAGTAGTTAAAACTCCTCACAATTTACAATCTAAAGGAAAGATACTGTCTAGAAAACAGGACACAAAGAGGGGATAACCAGTAACAAAATTGGTTGCTAATTCACTTCAGTCAACTGCACTAGCTTTCTCAGCTCTTGAGAAAAAGATGCTTTTTTAGCAAAGATGTGGACTGAGACCTTTACAGTTAGTTTCCACTTAACAGACATCCTGATTTCAATGCAAGCAAGCAGACCAGAAAGTGAGCTTTTTAAAAAAAAACACACCACCACCTCAAGAACCACATATGTAAAACTTTATACACAGCCCAATGTGACTTCCCTGGGAAAATGATGGAGAAAATCCTCCTGGAGAGCATTTCCAAACACAGGAAAGACAAGAAGGTGATCAGGAGCAGTGAGCATAGACTTATGAAATAATGCTTGACCAACTTGATAGTCTTCCACAATGAGGTGACTTGCTTGACGGACAAGGGGAGAGCAGCAGATGTTGTTTACCTCAAATTTAGTGAAGCCCTCAACACTGTCTCTGTTAACAGCATCATAGAGAAGCTGATAGAGTATGTGTTTGGTAAGTAGATAGTGAGGTGGACCGAAAATTGCCTGAATGACCAGGCCCAAAGGGTGATCAGTTGGAGGCAAGTCACTTGTGGTGTACCCCAGTGCTCAGTATTTGGGCTGATACTGTTTAAGATCTTCATTAATGACCTGGATGATGGAACAGAGTACACACTCAGCAAGTTTGCAGATGCTACAAAACTGTGAGGAGTGGCTGATACAGCAGACGGTTGTGCAGCCATTCAGAGAGACCTCAACAGGCAGAGAATAATCTCCTGTTCAGCAAGGGGAAATGCAAAGTCCTGCACCTGGGGAGGAATAACCTCAGACACCAGTACACGCTGGGGGCCAACCAGATAGAAAGCAGCTCTGCTGAGAAGAACCTGGGGGTCTTGGTAGACACCAAGCTGACGATGAACCAGCAATGCACCCTCACAGCAAAAAAAGGCCAGCAGCACCCTAGGGCACAATAGGAAGAGTGTTGACAGCAGGTGAAGTGACGTGATTCTTCCTCTCTAGTCAGCACTGGTGAGGCCACATCTGGAGTACTGGGTCCAGTTCTGGGCTTTCCATCACAAGAAAGATATGGGCGTACTGGAACAAGTCCAGCTCAAAAGCGACTACAGGACTGGAGAATCTTTCACATGAGGAGAGGCTGAGAAAGCTGGAACTCTTCTGCCAGGAGAAGGCTCAGGGGAATCTTATTGATGCTAACAATTACCTGATGGGAAGGACTAAAGATGGAGCCAGACTCTACTCAGCAGTGCCAACCAATAAGACACTGGACACGGTCCTGGACAACCTGCTCTAAGTGACTGTGCGTGAGCAGGTGAGTTGGGACTACAGGATCTCAAAAGGTCCCTTCCAACCTCAACAATTCTGTGATTCCAGTCATGACACAATCATCCAGTTTTACCCCTCATAATTACAGCACTCAGAATATTACTTTCCCCCGCAGAATATTTGGTGTCTTGATAAGGTCAGGCTGCAGCTTCTCCTTCAGTCTAGGTATTCACCTCTTCTCTACTCACCCACAAAACTTTTTAACACTTTAAGTTCATGGAACTTTTTTAGGAAGACAACATTTTTGATACCTCTAACCTTTCATCGGTTTGAAACTGGTGAATACCAATTCAATCTTAGAGTTACCAGAAGCAACAGCACAATAACACAAGCCTCATTTTCATAGAAAAAAGGCTTAATACAACCACACTTACTCTGAAATAAGCCAGTATTTCTTGCAGTGTCTTTTCCACAACGGATCATGACTTGAGAGCTGATTTAATCTTCGACTTAAATAGCAGCAACTGTAAATATAAAACAATTAAATTTGATTGCAAAAGAAGAGTAAACAAGGATAAATACCGACCAGTATATTATACATTGCATTCTCATGAAATAAATGCAGAGTTTGAAAGTTAGTTAGCTGTCCTTTTCAGAGTTGTGCTTACAATGGTAAAAAGTCTTCATTATAGCTGTGTAAGTCATGAACTACTTTTCCACACGCTTCTAGAACTGCCAGCAATTAAGTAATTTTGTAAAGCAGGTCATCCTGTAGACCTACACCACCATAAACATTGTCTGAAAGATTCCGGTGTGACTCCTCTCCTCCAGCCGTAAGCATCCCAGCAGCATAGCCTAGTTATTATGATTTAAATCACTTTCTTATCTGGATTGCCAGTCTCTACCTTATCTTTTCCACTGTTGCCATACTACTGAAAGCTCAAACAGTAAGCTACAGAAACTATACAGTTTGAACATTACAAAGTTACTTTCCGCTTTAAGTTGTTTAGATAAGAAACTTCATGACCAAAACCAAAGACAGACACAGGAAAAATACAAAGGATGACAGACCTGGAAATAAGTACTGCAAGCTGACTCTAATATATAAGCTCTTGCCATTGCATTACAGGTAACATTACTACTTCAGGAAGTTAAAAGAATCATATCCTGCACTATGCAGCATTATTGTAAATGCTGTATTAAAAAAACCTGTAGGATATAGGTCTAAAACTGCCCTCGGAAATCATTTAAGTTGATCCTTGCTTGATGCAAGGAGACAGCAAAGCTAACCTATGTTCCCGATGCTTGCTAACTCACTCTTTAAAAGCAGTGATCGAGGTGCCATCAAATGCAGTCTGTTCCCATATTTACTTTTACAGTTATAAAGCTTTTCTGGAATGTACAACTGGTATTGACAGCAAGACATTTTGGTGTATTTATATGAATAAGAACATGTGGCAAAGCATCAGTAACGTGCAGAGCAGTAACACAGGGAATGACTGTATTATTCAGATTCATAGAATTTAAAAGAAATTATTGCCTCGTTCAATCTAACTTGAACACCAGACTATAAATATTTTTTTCTTCTGTGTTTAAATTGAATTATTGGTTATGCTTTAAAGAAACTCCCCAAAAGATACAGCGAATATAGATGTGGCAACATCACTTCCTCTGGTAGCTTGTTCTAACTGTTAATGTGTGTGTTTTAATGGCTGTGATTAACATCTAAATACCCCAAAATGAAGCTACCAAGCTTAAACTTCCAGTTACTGATTTGGGGTTTTTTTTCAGTGTTCAGAAATTGGTAAGTAGCAAAGGCCAGATGTCCAAATGGACGTAGTTACATACAGAAATAAAGATGCCTCTCAATCTTGTCGTTGATAAGTAAAATCACCCAAAGTGCAGGGCTGGAGAAAACATCTTGCACTGAGACGACAGAATTACTCATATTTATCTGTTCAATTCAATCTTTTTTTTTCCTCCCCAATATCCCTTATAAGCTGTTTAAACTAAAATTGTGTTACTGTTTCAAAACCAACCTCAACAAAGTGAAGTGATTCTCCTGTGTGCCCTACCATTCCCCTTCCCACCCTGCAACGAGACAGACATAAACGCATTCACTTCAAACCTTGGCATTTGGCCGTGTTAATAACTTCATTCATGACATGGTGATTTTTTTTTTTTTTTTTTTGAGGGGGGGCAGTGGAACAGAAATATCCCAAAGTCAAAGTCCTTTCAGAAATCTATTATATTGGTGTTTATCAATGCCTGTAATTTCTGGTAGGACAGACGTCACCACAGCATCAAACATGATCAAAGATGCAATTAAAGCCATTCTCATTAATGACATAAATATTTGGTCACCTGACAGCTTTTCCATCATTTAAGGGCCACCACCAGGCCCTTAACCAACCTGTGGACTACTAGGGAAACTGTAGTGCTTATCATGGTCAGAGGTTACACATGTCACAAAAACAAATGTAAGCAAGCTAGAGATTGCTTCAATTAATGCTCTAAGTACTACAAACAGCCAGTTATGCAAAACTGCCATTACCTACCTTATAAGTAATAAACCTACACAGTATTTAATTGTCCTTGCACAGCAAAATCCATCTCACTTTGTCAAATACATAGCAAAAATAGGTAGTGCCTTTACTACACCATTAGCAATTACTACGAAATCATCCATACCGGACTCGTAACAATTGTTACAATTTTTGCTTATGCTTAATCTCCTTTTTTTTTTTTTGCTGTTATCCTA